ATCCTAATTTACTGGTAAAAATGGAAATATTAATAAAAAATTTAACAAATTTGATTCTGGAGGCATATACAGAACCAACAATTAAAACAATGGTACAGACAAGAAAATTTGGTCCCGTTACTACTAAGAGATAATGAGGCATGTATCCAACTTCAAGGGGGTATATCAAATTCTTCAAAAATTAAACATGTTGATGTAGCCTTCCACAATATTTTCGATGAAGTAGGAAAAGGCAGACTAGAGAGCCGCTGGATCAGTGTGTGTTGTGTTATCCATGTAACTTACCATTGTACATGCTTTAGGTCACGTCATAGTAGATACATGTGACTGTGGAACTAAACCGTGGGGTGTTTAGTGTGTAATGCATGTGTGAGTATACTGGACCGCGTCTTTTGTCTCGGTAGGGACTTAATAGGGTTACTCGCTTGACGCGTGATCCGCCAGACGTTAAATAAAGATAAATAAGAATATACTGGAACAAATTGGAACTCGATGGAATAGAGATAATGGAATCAGCGAGAGACTGATGGACTGAAGGAGAACGAACTGGTCATTTCTCGAAGGAGAGAAATGATATCAGGAGGGAATTTTCTTGCACTAGGCTGTGAACAACACAGTAAGTCTGGAGTAAGATATAAGGAGGTCACAACCTCCGTTCATTCATTTGTAACCAAGTTCCTTCATATAAGAATATAGATTCAAGTCTTACACGTCACGAGAACACACGCGACAGCGATTAACGAGACTTACTGTGAGCATAACTTCCCCAAGAGTATCCATCGTACTGCTCCTATGTAGCCTAGTTAATATAACAGTTTGAATAGCATTCTGGCTGATGGATTAACAAAGCCCCTGCCTGGACCAGAAACCAAAAAGAAAAGAGCTGCAATTGGGGTGGTAGATGAATCGAAGTCAAACCAGCCAAAATAAGGGGGATGTTGAGATGTCATGTTATGTTGGCGATGCAAAGACCTTTAATAAACAAATGTATCTCTGCTGGTTAGAATAGACTAGACGAGTAATCAATCTAACATATACCCTTACAACAATAGGTCATATCTGTTCTCTACGCTTGCAGGCTAAAGGTGCCAATGATTCGGACATTACGTTTGTTGTGATTAATTGAACTACATAAGTCTATGACTTTTAGTGTATTGGGCTCACCTCTGTCCCAAGATACACCTTGTATAATACTCCTATAGTCCTTAGTTGTAAAAAATATATTTGATATGACGCCTATGATGGATAGCAATTCGGCTCAGTATTTAATCGTGGATTTCAGCCTTGCATCCTACAAACCCTCTCTAGAAAACCTGATAAAGTCAGCAACGGAAACTGCGGACGGGGTAAATAATATAAAATTTAATAACGCTGCTTGGTCAGCTAATTAGTAGAATGAATTTTATTTACACCGTTAGACTAATCACTTCCGGATGTGTTTTGTTCTAGGGGATTTACGTAAGAGACCATTTTCAAAAATTTGCTCAAGTACTGGCGTCATTCACTTTCCTCCTGGTCCAACATCGCTCGTGCAATTTATACCAGAGTGGTAAACGGAAGTCTTGACTCGGAGAATATGTGCCTGCCCAACAAAAACGTTACCGTGTTGCCTAGGTGTCAAGTTTGCAGTGGGGCTTTGGCAGGAGTTTTAGTGTGTAAACTAAGACTCCTTAGGCATAATCACCTTCCATATTGGAGTTAGCCCCCGTATTTGTGCAAATTTTCGAAAAAAGTTGAATGGCAGTTTTTTTCTGGATACCATAGTTTGCAGCGGGTCTTTCCTTCGTACTAAACCAAATTGGTAATATGACTGGCTGCATAACATTTGTGCATTTTTACTACTTGAATTTATAACTTATTTACAAGAGTTCAAAGGTTTTCAAATTACAAAATAGAGCTACAGTCTTATCCTAACCTTGGATCTGAAGTTTTGGCTGAAATATTTTCAGGCCTTAATATCTGGTTGGTCCCCCATCCGCATCTACCACAGCCTGACATCTTGCTGGCATACTCTGAATGAGTCTCACAAGATTTTCGGAAGACACGGAATCCCATGCCTCCTTTACAACCTTGCAAAGACTATCTTGAGCTTGCTGCTTCCCACAACCCAGATTCAGATGATGGCGCTGGATGTAATCCTTCATCCTATTCCAAACAGCTTCAATTGGGTTAAGGTCAGGCGAGTTGGCCGGCCAGAAAATCGGTTGAATGAGCCTCTGGCTCATATCTTCCATTGTGATTGCGGCTGTGTGGGCAGGAGCATTATCCTGCATTACGGAAAGCCAAGGTCTTATCGAGACCATGCCATCGATAAGAGGAACTATCTTCTCCAAAAAAATTTGGGTGTTAATGGATCCCCACTCCTCCCAAACTAAACAGGGGCCTTTTTTCTGGCCCTGCGAAGCAACCCCAGAACATCCATCCGAACCTATTCTTCGATTTTTCTCCAACACAATCAACGTTGTATTCTTGGGAAGTCTAGCTCATAATGTTAGAGCATCAAATTAGCATCTTCTTATTGGGGAATGTACGAACAATTCTTGTCACCCATTCTCTAGAATGTCTTCCATCCTCTACCCAAGTTTCGTCTGTCCATAAAATTGACGTCCAGTCTTCATATGTCCAATTGAGATGGGCTTTGGCCCATTCTCTGCGTGTCTTCATAGTTTTCTGAGATACTGGAGGCTTTAGACGAGCCACATGTCGCTGATATCCTTTTTTTAAAGTTCTCTTTGTATTACCCACTCGCTAACACTAAGATGTCTAGAGGGGCTAGAGGCGAGTTCCAAAAACGTTTTGCGGCGGTTTCCAGGTGAAGACTCAACATAAGATATAATCTGATCAACATCATCTGCTTTCAGCCTTGAGGATGTTCTTTTTCTCTTTTTGGGGGAGACAGTTCCGCGGCGCAGTGAATAGCTAACTTGTCCCCGAGAAATGCCTAGTTGCACGGCAATCTGCGTCTGGTTTTTGCCAGATTCATGGAGCCCATAAATCTTAAAATTTCTTTTCAATTCAATTCGTTCATTTAATTCTTCTACTTACTAAAATGTTTTGATTTCTGGATAATTGTTTGATTCGAGGTGTTTAAGGTGGGGTTTGAGATGGGTTCATCTGCAAAATAAGACTAGTATCGAGTAAAGCCATGCGTCTTCTGAATAAATAACTTTGTATTTGAGAAATCTTATTCTTACTGTCACTCAAGCACATTATGAGAAGAGCTGTGTACTTTTTTAGCGGTCGGCGGTCATGAAAGTGCCCGCGGATAGCTTTATGAAACGGTTGACGGAAACTCAGACAATCCGCTACGTAATATTGTACTTTCTTGTAACACACAAGACGTAGCTTAATCCTTATTTTGATTTTTATCTGTCCCACATTTTATCTTCGAAGTCTTTAATCATAAAAATTCGTCACATGCAGGCACATGTTACGAAGCATCTTAGTTTGTGAAGGTGCGCTTTTCAAATATTAACCATTCTCAGGCTATGATCTCCTGCGAGATGAAGGTTCATTCTCCCTGTAGGCCAAGCGTACCTACACCTAGGTTAGTGTAGCCTCTCCCGTGCTGTCACGGAATCTGGTCGTGATCTAACCGATGGATCGAAATATACGAAGTTTATTCTGATTTCGTAAAGTAATGATAATGCAAGAATAACAACAATGCGAAAATGGAGCATCTGTAAAGGGAATATATTTTTACAGGAGTATGACTAAGCGGGCCCTGAAGCCAGCATTATACGTGGGCCGCCCACTGTGAACGGCAGGAGTTTGTGCGCTAGATTCCTTAATACGTGCCTCCAATCCCGCAGCGCCACTTATTATAAGTCTTTATTCGAGATTGTGGTTGGGGGAGCCTTTTGACTTTCATGAACTCACTTTCTCAACAAAAGAAATTGGCTGATCCTGGCTGTATTACCTACGAATATCACCGAACGCGACGCCCTCTTGTTGCTAACAACACAGCTACATACCAAGACCCAATTAATTTTCTTTTAGTACGTTTGCAGAGGTTAACTGTCAGGCTACTGTAGATGTGTATGCACCTAGATAAACGAATCCCTGATTTCCTAACCTCATTTAAATATCACTCATCAATCGCACACAAGGAAAATTCTGAATTTATATTCAAATGTTAGAAAATTCTTGACAAAAAGCTCAAGATATGTATCAGCATAGTTTGTTAATTTTGAGCCGTCTAGGGTACCGGAGAATGCCGTTCACTTCTTAATTTAAGCTTTCGTCGCTCGTATGTGCGGGGAAGATATCCGAATGTAGGAAGTGGAACGGCGTGAACAGTGTGGGCGAGAGGGACGATATTCTTTGTTACTTTGCAGACATCGAATTTTTTTCCCCCGTTTCAGGCAGCGTTTGTTGGAAAAATGCCAAGGATCTCATTTATTGACATTGTAGCGTCTGGTACAACATAATCTCTCCCTCTTGCCAGCAGTTGTTCTCGTTATCATAACTGTCATGATAGCGAAAGCCTCGTCTGGCCGTTGGTGAATTTTGGTTGAACCCAACCCCTGTCCTAATGACGCTATAGCGTGTGGGGACACCCTTGATATCTGTTAAGTCCTCGTGCGCCGCGACCTCTAGAAAGAATTATGCGTTTAAAGATACCAAATTGCCTTTCCACTGATAAAAGTCTCGGATTGTAGTACCGTCTTACCGAAACGATGTGATTCTGTCCATGTGTTCCTGGTTCGTAGCTAACTCTTCATTCTTCGTCTCCGCAACATATCACTCTAACAAGGATTTATGCATCAGATTGCTCGGATGGCGAATTCTTACGTCCAAACTTCGCCCGATCGGTACCTCGCTCTGACAAATCTGAATGCATGGATGGAATTATGTCGTTCCGGTGAGGCCGCGCTAAACTTTTCGATGTATTTAATCAAACTCTCTCCTACCAACGACTAATGCAACTTGCGAAGCAAATTTGATGTAATCATTCTCAACTTAAAGCCCACAGAAATCCATCCTCAACTTGTGCCAAAATGACTACGGATTACATATCTCACACGCAAGTCCATGCTTTTGACTATGTCATCGTTGGAGGGGGCACTGCTGGGTGTGTTTTGGCCAGCAGACTATCTGAATATCTACCACAGAAAAGAATACTCTTGGTTGAGGGTGGTCCAAGTGATCTCCACAACGAAAAAGTTTTGAAGCTGAAAGAGTGGCTCACCCTATTAGGAGGCGAGCTCGACTATGACTACGGAACTACCGAGCAGCCCCATGGTAAATAAAGGAAATATATGCTTTCGGAACACACACACTAACAATTCTATCAGGGAACTCTCACATCAGGCATTCTAGAGCCAAAGTTCTTGGGGGATGCTCTTCCCACAATACCTTGATCTCATTTAGGCCATTTGAATATGATTGTCAATTGTGGGAAAGTATGGGCTGCAAAGGCTGGAACTTCAAGACTTTGATGCGCTTGATAGATAATTTACGCAATCAAATACAGCCAGTTCATGAAAGACACCGAAACCAACTTTGTAAAGACTGGATCGAATCATGCTCAACAGCAATGAATATTCCAATTTTAGAAGACTTTAATCATGAAATCCGGCAGACTGGAGCCTTGTGCGAAGGGGTGGGGTTTTTTTCTGTAGCCTACAATCCTGAAACTGCGACTAGATCTTCAGCGTCTGTAGCATATATTCATCCAATTCTTCAAGGAAAGGAAATACGTCCGAACCTGACAATCTTAACAAACGCATGGGTTAGCCGATTGAACTTACTAAATAAGAGTGCGCGAAGTATTAATGTGACTCTCAAGTCTGGCACTAAACTTACCATTTTTGCAAAGAATGAAATCATCCTTTGCGCCGGAGCTGTTGACACCTGCCGACTCTTACTACTCTCCGGAATTGGTCCCGCCAAGCAACTCTCCGATCTTTCCATCCCTATGCAGCATGACATGCCTGGAGTCGGTGAAAATCTCCTAGATCATCCAGAGACTATAATTATGTGGGAACTCAATACCTCTGTGCCGCCACAGACTACTATGGACTCCGATGCTGGGATTTTCCTTCGGTACGAGCCCCCAGATGCCGCTACGACCAGAACAAACTCAGAATTGAATCCAAAGGCTCTACCCGACGGAAAAATAGCTGATATTATGATGCACTGCTATCAAATTCCTTTTTGTCTGAATACAGCTCGACTTGGGTATGATGCTCCTTTGAACGCATTCTGTATGACCCCCAACATCCCTCGCCCAAGGTCTCGCGGTAGAATATATCTGACCTCATCGGATCCGACTGTGAAGCCGGCATTAGATTTTCGCTACTTCTCGGATCCGGAAGGTTACGATGCTGCGACGCTCGTTGCCGGGTTCAAAGCAGCTCGCAAAATCGCCAAGCAAGCTCCATTTTCGAACTGGATACTGAGAGAAGTTGCACCTGGACCTACTGTACAAACAGATGACGAGTTATCTGCCTATGGTCGCCAGGTTGCCCACACTGTCTACCACCCAGCCGGAACCACTAAAATGGGTGCTGCTGACGATAATACGGCTGTCGTAGATCCAGAACTAAAAATTCGGGGATTAAAAGACGTACGAATTGCAGATGCGGGCATTTTTCCTGTCATGACTTCTATCAATCCCATGTTAACTGTCCTAGCAATCGGAGAGCGAGCTGCAGAATTAATTGCCATTGATGCTGGTTGGAATCCTGAAAAACGCGCGAGGCTTTAAGGATATAACGGGCATGAATTTTATAATTCACTGGTACTTCAGCTCAAGCCGACAAGAGGCAAAGAAACGCCCGGCTGGCCGGGAAAGACTATGGATGGTCTCGCTAAGTGCGGTCCCAATGCATGGACTCAATACTTTAGGCGCGTTTGACAGGGAACCCGTCACAGGTGTTAGCTGTGCAGTCTCATAGGCACTATTATTCCGTATCTATTGAACACTCAGAATGTCGAGAGATCGATTTATATTGGAAGATACCTGACTATACATATCATTACGCTAATACGCCTGCACGCCTACCGCCATGATTCTATGGTTTTCTCTACCTACGTCAAAATTAGCATCGGAGCTGAAATTCAACCACGCGCCATAGCTCTTGACAAAAGAAACATAATCTCTCAATGATACAAATAACGGTAATCTCACTTTAAAGCTAATCAGAAGCATACATGAAACCAAAGTAGTTCGCATGAGCAATAATTAAAATGTTGCACCGTAGTTCGAGTTTCTAGTGCGTTGTGTATGGCTGTACATATTTGAATAATCTGAATCTTGATAGACAGTAGTACGACGGTCATCCTCTGATATAAGCTCCTTCACCTCCCAGTTATTTTGCTTTGTGCCAACAGAAAACTCTAGATCTTCCCTTGTAATAGAATCCCAGTACTGTAACGTGAAAAGGTTAGTGATCATACTACCTAGTATGAGTCTATTGGAGAAACAGACCTTGTAAACCATCATGACGGCTAATAGGTTGCATACTGTGGCGAAGAACAGTCCGTCAAGGTAGTGTTGGGCAGCGTCGCAGATTGTGGTGCTCATAAAGTATAGAATGACTTGGCCAACGATGAAAAAGAAGGTCCCGAATGCGATGTCTCCCAGTGGCCAGCGGTCCTGCAGGGTATTGGTGACTAGAAAAATTTGCGAAACGATATAAATTAATAGTTCAACGCCAGGAACTAGGTAGAGCATCACAAAAAGTCCGACTGTCTTGGTTGGGCTGAGGCCGGCCCATGACTTGAAGGTTGCCAAAGCGACTAAAAATGTCATACTGAACATGACGAGCGTAAGAGTACGAAGAAGCCAGACGGATAAAGAAGTGCCGTCCTCGTACAGTTGAAATCCAACAAATCCGTTTATCAAGAGACAAATGCACAGTGCTGAGGTGAGACCTGATTGTGCGGCAACAAAGTATGGATATGCATTATTACCGAGTGGGATCACGCCAGAGTCGAGAACCAAGGATATGAAAGAGAGAAGCATGTAGATGTAGAAGAAGGCAGTAATTTCCTTGCGGCCTGTGAAAAAGTGAGCATTTCGAGAAATTTCGTGAATAAATCTCTAGTACTTACCAACAGCAGTGAATTTGCTGCGTACGTGTAATATCATGATGACTGTCATTATCAAGGCGGCGATATGCATGAAGGAGGAGGCTCCTTGAAAGATGATTGTATTGGCAAATTCAATATTTCGCGCGTAGCAACTTGCTTCAATGCCAATAGTTCCTTCAATTGCAGAGGCCGGGCCTATGGCGGAGCACAGTGGTACCATAGATTGTTGACATATTGCTTGGAAGTCACCAAATCCCATTGTGCCGAGAGTCTCGACAATTATGATGCTTCGAATGTGGATTCAATGGCTATCGGTAGGCGCTGTAGTAGGCCTCAAGTGGGTTGTAGGGCAATAATGGAGTTGAGAAGAGTTGTTAACAGTTGCGCCGATATACCGAAACGGAGTAGCCGTTAGCGGACGCGTTGTCCGGATGGTCGGCTACTTGATGTCTGTCTCTGTGCTCAATGACATGGGGTATGTCACGCTAATAAGCAACTGTACATCGTCCCTTTTGTTTTAGGTTCCTACTAACGTCTTATGTGAGTCTAAGACTACAGCAGGATGTGCATCAGAAGATACATCTCCAAATTTATTTCACCTTTCAACACAACTTTCCAATATAACCATTACAATGAACCCTGGAGCCATGCCAATACATCATCTATTGAACACATTGTAAATGGCTTATTTCATGTGAGCTAGTCAAGGTACGGGGCGGATTCGTTACAACGATATTCGCCCTGTAACGATATCATCCTCGCGCATGCATTACGTTCTCGTAGTTAACATAGCAAACTCGAGATATTCGATATATCGCCGTCGCCCTTTTATCGTTGAATCGAATTACCAGAGCAAACATGGGGCGTCAAGGAATAAAAAAGCACGAGAGTCACTTTAAGAAAGTGGTAGTTTGATCAACTTCATGTCTGCCTCAGAAGGACTGTATTTCCTTGTTCGCTGATCAATTTCATCGTCAGCTTCGTCAAGCAACAGTGTCAATGTCTCTTACCGATCTTTTCCATAATCTTGACGTGCTAACGTCTCCCCAGCGATATCCCAACATCTGCGCGCACCACAATGGCCCTTGCTTGAGTAGATCCTCTTCCAGTGGCAACAAACTGTTGAAGCTTAAGGAGTGTTGGTTACTGGTGATATTCTACTCTTCAAGGCTACCAAAATCGGCCCACACCTCTTCCATAGAGTGGATATCAATGGTTCAAATTGCGGGACAGCATCTCAAAATAAGTGCGCCACAGCGAAGCATGAACCATGTCTACCATCGCAGTTGAAGGCAGTCCAGACTATCTGTGGTCTACAAAAAGAAGGATATATATAACATGGACGAGACAGGCCTTTTTTGGCTATGATCTGTCAGTGCTAAGCTCGGCACACACATACTGCTCCTGGCACCAAAAAATATGAAAGTCGTACATCAATTGTTGTCTGTACAAACACCACAGTCATTGTCCGATTCCGTCTGTGGATTATTGGGCATGGAGCATATCCTCGTGCTTTACGAGGAGTGAACATTGAAGCCATGGGCATGAGATAGAAATCAAATAAGAAGGCCTGGATGATAACAGATAATATTAGAGAATGGCTGACTGCCTCCTTTTAGCACGTAGGAACCAGCTGACGAGTGCTGCTTCTCATGGAAAAATTTCCAGCTCACTTAGCAGCTGTCAATATTACCATCGTGCTTCCAAATATTCGAGTGTATTTTCTGCCTAAAACTCTACAAGCGTCTATCAGCCGCTTGACCAGGGTATTATCCACGACTTAAACCAATATTATCGCAAACACTAGCTAGAGTACCAGCTGAAATGCTTCGATTAAGGCGTCAATCCTCTTCCAAAAATGTGTTTATATGAGGCTGTTAGTTGGTCACTCTGAGCATGAAAATTTGATATCTCAAACAACAGAATAAATGCCTATTCTCAGAAGTTAACTGTTATCTATCCACAGATCCAAATACCAGTCGATCCTTCTGTTGATATTTGTTTGTTTCTTCAACAGCCTATGGTATTTAGATGCCTTAGGCAGTAAGGTTAAGCCTGCGCGTACGGGCACCTACGTGAATACTGGTTTGGTTTGGTTTGTTCACTAACGTGCTGGGTAAAGTGACTATCGCTGTACTCCTCCTGGAGCTTAAGCACGAGTGGGGCCGGACTGGATCAGATTAACTACCATTAAGTACATCTACCTCGTCCCACCTAAATGACCGGACCACCTCAGACTTCACCCATGTGTTGAATTATGTCAAGCTCAACCGTCCATAGAACTCCCTTCTGGCGCACCGAAGCGCAAATCCCTCCTCGGCTTCGGCCAACACACGCCCAAGCCCTTGACACCTTCGACGTCTGTAACTTTTCCCTTCGATTCATTACCAGCTTTTGCTCTTCTCAGCATCTCCTCATCTCATCCAGGGGTCATTTTCTTCACTGGAGGCCTCATCCAGTCGCCCACCAAGGCCTCATCAGTTTGGAACACTGGTATGGATCCCTCATCATGTAAAATGATTAAAAGAACTAATAGACAACAATTCATATCAATATTCAAGCATACAATAAAAACCGTAGCCACTGAGTGATACCAACACTAATGAGTTGGTAATTGTGTATACAGCAAGCCGTATCTTTGATGTAAGGATTCTTGAGAAATGCCTCAGGCAGGATTTATGGGTTCCTTGTTTGATCCCACTAGTCTTTATTGCTTAGCGAGGGCACCTATGTAGTTTCCATTTCCGAGTCTGATATCATCACGCTTTGTTTTATGTCTTTAGGAATAGTTACATTATTCTAATCACATCTCACTCTCGTCGTCTGCCAAACACAGTGACCTACTATCACCTCCGGCCCCTCTATCCAGAACGACTCCTCGCTTTCCCTTTTACCACTTCTCTAGAAAGCCCTCCGTGTTACCACGAGGCGTCCTTCCTCAGTACATCCTACGCTACGCCCTCTCCTACGCCTCGAGTCCTGCGCCTAGTGAACCTGCGCCTGACATTTGACGTCATGAGCCTGTCAACTTTCCTTAACCCAATTGACGGAACTGTTGAGGTGCAGGAGTCCACGCTTGAGTATGTCATTGCGGCACATATTGTGCTACAGCTGGAGGAGGACGAGGATGAGGAGGTAGCTGAGCCGCCTTCTACAATTAATCAAGAACTCAATGGCCTCAAGCGCTTGCTCAGCTTCAAGAACCATGAGCCAGATGCCAACTCCGTGAAGCTCACGATACTCATGTGCATGGAAATAAGCCTCCTGCAGCTGGTAGAGTATAAAAGACGGCAATGGAAACTAGATAGCTGGTTTAAATGGTCTATATGATAGAACGATATCAGCTTTGATATGCGAAGACGGGTGAGGTGTCGCCGGATTCATTGGTTTTGGTATGTAGCAGAGCAAGTCCAGAATTAAATCAGTTAGTCATCGAATTGTAGAGTGAGGGGCATTCTACATTTTGCTATTTACATGAGAGAATGTTATTAACGACACCGGTCATAATAGTATTCGTTGCTAAGCAACCGTGTCCAAGTTACACTCTCGATAGTCTCTATAGCTGACTAGACCCTAGATTCCATCTTTAATGTACTGGCGCAGACAGCACACACACAAGGGAGTATTCCCGTAATATGAATAATTTATTAAGTGAATTAAGCTATCAAATTCTTTATACACCGTATCACGTGATCCAATGTTGTCCAATAAAAATCTGTAAAGATAAAAATGAGCCTTACAGAACCAAAATACGGGTGGATTTTCTCAATTCTTTTACTAGTGCCTATCTCCTTTGGGGGTCGTAGATTTTCGTGGATAAGATGACAGTGCGAGTCACCTGACACTAAATTTCATCTCGGGCTCCTTTGGATCTTTTATTTTTTTTTTTAGCCTCAGATTTCATTTGCAGGTACCACTGCGAAGGTATGGTGGCTTTTTCTTCACCTCAAGTCAACCCTCATCCGTGAATACCCACCCAGGGGAACGTCTCAATAACCCTGAGTTATCCAGACATGCCTCCATCATCTTTCAACTTTTCTCCGCGCGATATGTGATCTAAGGTGTCTCCTTCCCAAGTGAAGTAGGTGCCCAGGCTACTCAAACCATACCAGAGAACACCACCAGGAGGCGGATCACAACACTTTCCATCGTTTGCTTGTGTTTATAGTGTTAGCTGCACTCTCGCAAGCGAAATCTTGGCGCGCACAAAGTTCAATTGGTAAAACTCTTGCCAAAATTCGAAATTTCACGCCCGTCGAGAATGTATCCCTCTTCTGCATCATCTTGTAAACTTGTTCTGATCCCTCTCACGTCCGTCCCAAAGAGCTATCTCCTGGATTTGTGCTCCACGCTTTGCTTCCTCCGTCGGGTATAAATATCGGCGTGGGCGTGTATTTGGTGGTCAACTGAAGCCATAGAAGGTCGGAGAGAGGTGTGGTCATTGAAATGAGGATGTACTAGGTCGTACTTGTAGACTTGATGAAGCTTAGTTGAGAATCGGACTCTTTGGGAGTGAAAGATTGACATGATGGAGTAATTTGAAATTTTGCCTCGTGGGCCAACTTCTTTGATATTGCGAAATTTGACTGAACTTAGCTCTGGGAGAATATTTCACTTCCAGGTTCGTAGAGGACACCGCGTACAGGTGTTCAGTCTTGCCCTCTACTCCTTTGGCTCAAGGAGGTTGGGTTATTCAAGCTCCCAGAGCAGTAACTCTTGGCGTCCTTGGCCCCATTAAGGACTAGTGTGTGTAATCATTAGATACACGTAAAGTGGAACAATCAACTAAACTGCATAACATCGCCGGCAAAGACGAATTCTCCACCTTCCAGTGGTGCCGGTGAAATGGGCTCGCGTGCTCTGCACATTCGGAATGGCCAAGCAGAATCGCATCCGAATCAAAGTCCAAAGCAATGTAAAGTATACCTAAAAACGATAACTTCTCGTCAATGTCGAATTTTTCATGCTCACGCGAGTCCTCTGTCTCGATCTTACTACATTACCTCGCCTCGATCACCAAAAACGACGTTACTCCAATTGCAATCTGGCATTTGCCACATCAAAAATGGGCCATCTTCGACTATAGACTTATGATGCTATGTATACCCGCGAGTAGGAAATTAAGTCAGTATATACAAAGCTCAGGTCTTGGTCTTCAGGAAATCGTTACTCTAATAAGGCTTTACATTTTGAAGGAGAACAGGCAGCTGGGACGTGGGACGAACGAGTGATAAAGTCACAAATGGGAATTCTGGGACTTACATCTTTCGAATGTTTTCGACTTAAGGGTATCTGTGGGCGTAGAGGTAATAATCTGAGATAGTGCAACTGACACTCTAAAAACAGGCAATGATGGAAGGTATTTTGGTCCGCCTCCTGGTCGTCATCTCCCCGAATTAAAGTCTGAGGAGCCTAGACACCTACCTCACTCGAGAAAGGGAGGACTGTGAGGCCATATCTCGCGCCGAGTCTATATACAAGATGACAAATGCATGTTAGGGAAGCCAAAGGTTTTTCCTTTGGATATTAGCGGTTGAGGGAAGGGTGAAAGTCCTTCGCACCAAGGTCTCGAGTGATATTAGCAAATGCACACACTACATGAGTGGTTGTTGGAAAATTAGTATGGGTTCGATAAGTAAGGATGCTTAAATAATATGGGCGCGATTTATGTATAGGATAATAATGATATGAATCGGGAGAATATGTGATATACTTTGGAGAAATAAAAAATGGATTAAATAAATTAAATGATTGTCTGTCTTTGTGATTCGTAGACAGCATATGTACATGTATACTTGATAGACCAAATACAAATTAGATACCATCCATCACCCGTTCCATACTCTAACAATGACAATGAATCGCACGATAGTACACAACATGAGTATGGGATCAGGGTCGGTATTCTCTGGTATAGTTCGAGTAGCCTGGGCACCTACTCCGCTTGGGAAGAAGACGCCTAAGATCATATTTCGCGCGGAGAAAAGTTGAAAGATGATGAAGGCATGTCTGGATAACTCAGGGTTTTTGAGACGTTCCCCTGGGTGGGTATTCACGGATGAGGGTTGACTTGGGGTGAAGAAAAAGCCACCATAACTTCGCAGTGGTACTTGCAAATGAAATCTGAGGCATGAGTGCTCTTCTCGTACGTTGAATCATCAATTCTGTACTTTTCTTTGATATTGTGTCATCGCTAGATAGCTGCATAAGCAATTAAAATCTGATGCAAAAAGAAAAAAATACATATTCTCTATATACCTTATCTTGCCCTCTATCTTGGTCATCGTTTCATTGGCTGGAGAGGGGAGATAATGAAGGATAAAGGGCTCCTCTAAGTGTATGATCGAATGAGGACTTGTGAGGGGCGGTACTGTTTGAGGGGAGCTGTATGGGAGGCATAGGAGGGGATATACTACTGGTATAGGTATCCTTGACCTGTAGGCAGAGAGGACCTGCATGTCCGACATAGTCATAGACTCAGACAGGACAATAAAATGAATTAATTAATAAAACTTAGTATCTGTGAGCGATGTCCCCTACAAGCTTCCAGCTCTCATTGTAAAATCAACAGAGCCTAGATTTGGTAATACCTTCGTCTTCACCTTCATGGGAATTCTAAATTATTTTTGCGGTCTGTATCGTTTTCATTTCTCGACACAAACCCTAGCGCCATTTTTTAATTGTGTAATTGTCCTTTGTCATTTTAAGACTCAATAGGACATGTATTTTCTCTCTGAATTCAGGCAAATGATACCTATACCAGTAGTATATCCCCTCCTATGCCTCCCATACAGCTCCCCTCAAACAGTACCACACCTCACAAGTCCTCATTCGATCATACACTCAGAGGAGCCCTTTGCTCTTCATTATCTCCCCTCTCTAGCCAACGTAACGATGGCCATTTGCGGGTGTATGGCAGCCGGGAAAAATCGCAAAAAACCACTGGGTGCGGAGCTCTCCTAATACCGACATTAGGACTAAATCCGAAGACATAGTGATCCTTCCGAAGCGTTCGAAAAGGCCGGCCAGCTGGGCGCTGCAGACTTGTGGGTATGTCGAACCTTTTGAGCTGGTTCGGAAGCTGTAATGATTGAGACTAGAGGTATCTGGAAGAATAGCTCGCACAGGAGCTTTCAATTGAAGTAAATAAAAAGATGTAATTGTCTGTCTGTCTGTCTTCCTTCCTCTTACTCTCAGCTTATATATCTACACATATCTACTACCTGACATATGATGATAATATCTAGAAATAGCTTCCTTACATCACATGATACAATCCAAACATGTTGTAGCCAAGATGTAATCCTAAACCGACTCAATACCAGTCCACCACGTCTGTTACACGGACGCCAAGCATTTTCTAGCTGAAAATTACCCAAAACGCCAAGGTTTTCCTGAGGCAATCACAAATTATGTCAGGTACCAGCTTGGCATATTATTCTGACAATAATGTTACGATCATGTTAGAAGAATGGAATTTACATGAATCACAAAACATTAATTCAGGAATACGAATTCCACCGGGTTCTGATACTGGTCTGACAGGGTACCTCGGGAAATTCACCCTCTGCCTTTCTAGCCTCCTTCCAACTCCTTCCCGAAGGTCGTGCTGAAATGTCAAAAAAGTCTTGACAGAGCGTGATTGCTGTATGGCCGCTTAGCCCAACTTCTTTTGTTCCGTCCAGGGCGCTGGGGAGAGCCGTTGACTAATCGACAAGATAAGCCCTTCTGGCTAATTAGCCGAAATTTCGGTCTTGGCGCCCACAAAAAATACAAAGTTGTAAGCCCCTCGAAGATGCCATTCCCTGCACTGCTTTCCTCAAGATTTATAACCCCACAAGAGCATCAGTCCCTAATAAACTAAGAACCCAACTTTATATATTATGACTTAATTTCCTCCTTGCGGGTATACATAGCGTCGTAAATTTGTAGTGAGTGATGGCGAGTATTGAATGGGGCAAGCTCCTGTTAGCAATTGGGGCGACGCCTTTATCGGTCGTTGAGGCAAGATGATATGTGGTTGGAAAGATATTGAGGACTCAGAAGATAACACTGAGTGACGCATGATTTAGAGGTCGTCAAAGGAAGATAGAGATGTGTTTGCTTTCGACTTCAATTCGGATACGATTCTTCTTGGGTATCCCAGATAAGCAGAGCGTACTGAGCGATCACACCGGTACCACTGGAAGGTGAAGAGTTCGTCTTTGCCGGCAAAAAGATGACCCAAAGGATGGATACAATCTTGACGGATGCGGGATTGGGAGTTTTGGCAAGGAGTTTCTACAATGGAGGAGTAATGTGTGCGCAAAGATTCCCATCGCGAGAGTGCAGCCGACATCTTAAAAGTCGTCTTGGTTGGATAGTTCAGTGGTTTATAATCGCGACAGTCTTCTCAGGAAAGGTCTTATTAGTAAGGCCCTTGCCACCTGAGACAGGAAATGGCTTGCTCGAGCCCAGAGAGATCTGATCAAATCTCTCGCACTGCTAATGTTTGTGGATGAAGATGGAATACTTCGAAACCCAAACATTTTGAAAGCCTCTTTTTTGTTGGTTGTCATGGAGAAAAATGAATTGTACTGCAAAAGCAAACACACCTCACAGTGGTTTTCACAGTTGAAATTCTGAGGATGAGTTTCTTTGAGGTCAAAAGGGTCACTCTAGATTTATGCAAGGCACTGACTACCCTACACAGCTCTATAGCTGCATGTGAATTAATGATTTTTAAATTTAAAGGAATGGTCTGGTCGCGTGTCACAAATCTTGACCAGGTAGAATCCTGATCTTAGTATTTGACTGATCCATCCGGGCGTGTATCAGTGTCGGCCGACGGGCTAATAACTTTGATAATGAACCTTACCGCAATAAAGCTCCCGCACTTCATGCCGGCACGGTAAGAACTACAGGCTAAGAATGGCCTCTGGTCACGTATAGCATGGTCGAACAGCGTTGCCTTCTATTACCATGCTAACAGTGAAGCCATGGTCAAGGTTGTGTGGTCAAAGTGCACCATAAGTTTTGTGTATCATTTGGTACACTTGGCCTTCATGTCGAGGCTCAGATTCGATGGTTAACCCTGAGCAATACAGTCTCCATCAAATGTAATCCTTTCCACCTGATTAACTCTTTCATTTCTAACCATAAGGTTGAATTTCCTATATATGCTATTAGTAGCTTATAATGGATACAGAGGCAAGAGATGAGGACAAGGGTGAGAAATATTGCTAATTTGGACTCAAGAGCAGGAGTCCTGAATAAATTCCTCCGCCGACACCTTGACCTTCAACCCTCTGTGAAGATTCTTGCGAATTCTAAATTCTACTCAGCTAGAAACCATCGGTAAAAGCAACAAAGAATAGTCCTACCAGCAAGGCCTTAGTGTCAGAACGGCATCTAACTGTAGGCGGTGCTACATAACATGGACGAAATAGATCAGGCTCAAGGTCCCACACAATCAGAACAACCTACCATGCAGACTATAATTGATCTCACCGAAGATATCGAGGACCTAGCACCTTCTATCTCTACCATTCGAAGCCGTAGCAGACCAAATATACCATCAATATTCAACCGAAGCGAGGCAGTGAGCAGGGCAGATATCGTTGATCTCACTGGAGACATTGAGCATGAAGAAGAAGAGGACGAGATAATTTTTACTGGACAACGTCGAGTAGCCGTCCGTCCGGGCGCCACTCGATTCGCTGCTCGGGCACAACCTAACAACACTCGGCGGCCGAGACGTTCAAGTTCCCCTTCTCTATTCTTACCAGCTGGGCCTATATCATCCACCGGATATCGATCCTTCAGCTCGTCTCATGGTGATAATGGTTTAGCTTTCGGGCTCGCAAGACTAGGTCAGATGTTTTCTCCACACATAATGGAGCATATTCCCGCCTTTGTGCATCTTGGTGCTATCCGGCCTATGGCAGGCCGTGTAGACCATGGAAGAGGTAGTACCATGGAACGAAGACCTGAACACATTCCACCGCCAGCCGCTCGGGATAATTTTACACGGTCACCAACCCAGTCTGACACCATCATCTGTCCGAACTGTGAAAAAGAACTGATACATAACAAAGAATCAATTGTTCGCAAAACTGGCAAGGCACCTTCAAAGAAGGATAGAGAAGAGCATCCATTTTGGGTAGTTAAAGAATGTGGTCACGTATGTGCAGCCGTGCCGCTTTTGACTTAGTCTTACTGACTCTGTAGGTTTACTGCAATAACTGCTTCCAGAGTCGTCTTGATAAAACTAGGAAATCTGCCTTCACAGAAGAGGTCAAACCCACAAATACTAAATCATCCACCAGAAAGGTACTCATATGTGCAGTTGATGATTGCAAGTGCGATGTTAGAGGTAAAGATAAATGGGTCGGTGTTTTTATGTGAGGATCAAAAAAATATTATCTCTGTAGATTCTCGGAATATCAGAATTCCCACAAAATCGATTTTCTTCGTTACAGAAGCAGCGTAGGCGTCAGGGCATCTAGGGAATTTTGGTTTACCTTTCCACTCACGATGGGGCGTTGATGGAGAACCTATATCTTTAAACACAACAATGAGCCATAGCTTGAACACACAAGCGAGCCCTCAAATTGTTAATCATGAGAAGGGAGGTAGGGGGCATTGATTACTCAAAAAGGACTGAAGTAAAATTTTCCAGCAACCGGAACGGTGGTTAATTCTTTAAAGTAAACTAGCAATAGGAGTCCAAGGATACAGTATAAAAGAGGCAATAACTCTTTTATGGCGAATAGATCTCTCGCTTTCTCACGTTTAAATTGCACCAAACTAATTTATCGTAAAGAGCTTTGAAATACTTTTTCTGCTATTTAGCGAATCTACGATGTTATAAATAAACATTGTAAAAACCTGCAAATTTATAAGATTTTCATTTTACCTCAATACCTTAACGACACCCCCTTCATCAAGCGCTATCAAAGACCTTGCTTGTGGCCCCCAGGAAATATTTCTGGCTGGAATTGCGAAGCTATTGACACTTGACCAGGTTTTTGTTGATTTGACATATTGGTGGATAATAATGCCACGTGGTCCAGCTGCTGCTAGATACTGACCAGTGTAATCCCATCTAATGCTGTTTATTGGCCCTCCAGTTTCTAGCAGTTTAGCCTCAGCAGATTTTCCCTCTTTCCTCAGGTCAAATGTAACCAGACAGCTAGATCCCTTGGCTATAACGGAAAGCCAGATACCATTCTCTGAGAATTCAATATCACCAACTGGCCCTTCAATAGTGAATATTGCTGCCTTTTCACCGGTTTTCACATGAAAAAGCTTGATTTGGCCGTCACGCCCTCCAGCTGCGAATAGGTGGCCGTCAGGATGAAATTTAGCACAGATTAATTCTAAAATCCCATTAGTGAATGCTTCGATCACATTTTTAGCTGCATTTTACCTGAATTTGTGTAGACTTGGGTTATAGGTTTATTTTTTTCCAAATCATAGAGCACGAAACTCTTATCTAAGCCCGCGGACGCGAGAATAGTTCCACATGGATGGAGAGCCAAACAAGTAGCACTCCCAGAGTGTGATTGAAAGGAAATATTATCAGGACCAAGGATCTTCACCTCCCCAGATGACGTAGAAACAATGGCTTGATTATCGTTCCAAATTGCGCTAGTTATTACACTCGATACGTCAAATGATTGATGGACTTTATTTTCTCTTACTGAAAAGATATTTACTCCACCTTCTAGTCCGCCGATAATTGCAAGCTCAGTAGCCTCGTCAAATGCAAGGAAATTTGAAATAGGACAGATTGGCTCTGAGAGGGACGCTGTCTCAAATTTCCGAACAGTTTCAACATCTGCCCAGTCGTTCGGTATGGGTCGTTTTCGGCGACTCTTTGAAAGCCTTCATTCGTATATAATTAGTTTTTGGAGATCCTTGAGTAGCGGTTTTCTGCTTACCTTTCTAAGGTCGCGTCAACCTTAGCTGCAAGTTCCTCGGGTAAACCTTGGTTGTCAATTTGCATTGCATCTTCATTTCTACCAAAATCCGGATTAACTGTTACTTTTGATAGAGCATCACGAGCCTGGTCGCGCTCTCTAGTTAATCGGGCTATAACTCGAACAGCAGCATCGTGTTGGTATAGTGAAGTTGATAATTCTTGCCTGGTTTCCTGTAGATCTTTTCGAAGGGTAAATATTTCAACCGCTAGAGAATCCCATTCATTCTGGAAGGTTGAAAGAAGAGCCGGAATAGAGGTGAGAGTTGGAGGTCGGGGGATTACAATTCTGGCACTTTTAAGAGATATTAGATCTTCAACCTCGAGATCTTCGCCATTCACTGGGTCTTTGTGATTTTGGGAAATGAACGCTTCAATCAAGTGTCTCTCATAGACATTGCCTTTGGATATCAGCCTTGCACTAAGTCAGAGCTGGACTTCTCTCTTACCAGATTTAGACGAAGCTACGGGGTGTTTTGGTGTTTCACCAGATACTGCTCCGTCTTAGATACACAGTTGATGTAATATAGGATGATGGGAATACACCCACTTGAGCAAAGCATTTTTGGTTCCGGTAATTTCTTGAAATCAAAGAGAATTTAAAATGAGATCGATTCAAAGTTTTTGTGGTGAATGTGAGGGCGAGAATCCCTTGATTTAGAATGTCAAACAAACAACTATACAGATTAGGTGAAGAAATGTAATTGCTCTCGGTTTTACTAGCGCAGACAGTGTCGAACATTTGATCTGTAGTGATATGCAATACAAGTCGCGATGGCCCTGGCTAGTGTCTAGCTGCCAAACCTGGCTAGTTAAATACAGGGTACAATCCCTCTGCACTTACCCGACATAATTTTGTCTCGCTGCTTATTGAATGTACGGTCGGAGTTTAATGGCACATCATTCTATCAACCACGTTGAGATAAGAATAGATATTCGTTCATCCCTGCATTTCCATGTCGAGTTATGTTCCAAAAATGGGATCATCAACCTATTATCCGACTTATTCAGACGGAGTAATGGACAGAGTTATGAATTCTCTGGCTTGAAATTTTATTAATCATTTTAACTTCACAGGTTTGTTTGTTGAAACCTTAACGTGGAATAGATTATAAATTCAAATATGAGAGGCTTTTTATCTCATCAGGCCACTACAACTTATTTGAATAATCTTCAATGGCAAAAACTAAGGTTCCGTAGAAATGGAGGGTGAATATTTTGGCTGATTACTGAGTTAAATGACTATCCATCACGGATATTATATTAGATACTATTTTGGTAATAAAAAAAGATATGAATACTGTACAAGATATGACCTGGGTCAGAGAGGAGTCCAATTTGCTAGGTAGTCATAAATTCGAGTAGCACAAAAAAATTAGGCATTGACTGCGCCTAATATCAGTGACATGTATTCGTTATGTTGTGTTATCTTTACGCGTGGGTAGCTTCAACCTGGAAGCCCAGGAAGAATCGCAGGTGTTACACAAGGTATGCGCGGCTGTGAAGCCGATCGTTGGTAAGAACAGGGTGACTTCCTATGCAGATCTCTACGCTGCTAGTCAGGCGTTGGGTTGGTTTTTTATTAACGTACTAGGCCGTTAGCACCCTCTGTACTCCTGTGGGTTCTTGAACACGAGTGGGGCAGAGTTGGATCAAGTTATCTACAATATAACTACACATACCTGGCAATTACATTCATTGATGAAAAAACAGGCAGCACAAAAATTAATTTCAGAGATATACCCTTAAAAATCCACCGTAACCTCACCAGGGCTCAAAGCAGTGTCGCTATTCAGCTAAGAAGCGAGCATATCGGGCTCAATTCTTACCTGTGCAGAATGAAAGTACCTGGAGTAGAAAAGTCAAGCTCCCAATGTAGATATCCGTCATAAAACGTCAAGCACATGGTTATGGTGTGTCCGCAGTGGGCAAATGGAAGGGACGACTTTCTCCCATAAGCTTAAGACAAGTCATTTGAGGGGAACTATTCTCAACAACTGTCGGTGGTTTCCCCTACGAACCTTCAGCTTTCACTGTGGAGTCTGCAGAGCCGAGATTGAGTGACAAATTCCTCACTTCGACGAGGATTCCCAATCGCTTTCGCGGTCTGTATCGTCTTCATCTCTCAACACATTCCCCTATGATGAAGCTAATTACGATCAGATCAGATGGTAGGGTCGGAGCCCTACTTAACACTAACCCTTGATCATGGAGGAAAAGCCATCCAATGAGCTTACGGAGCGTAGTCAGCACCCGATACGGAGATGGTGGATTGGATCAAGTCGGCCTCGAATGTTACAAAGAAGAGAGATATAGATAAATATGCGCACCTCATGTGGTCGCGGTTTCTAGGCCTCGCCTTGCTGGGGCTGCAGGTTTTTTGAGACTTTTTCCCGCGCACACAGTTTCCATTGCTACCTTTTTTTTTTTTTTTTTTTTTTTTTTTTTTTGGGTAGAAGGTTCCGTGGAAAAAGTGGCCGAATTCCATGGGTAAATACTTCGCTGAATGGCTATTCATCACGGGCAATATATCAATAATCTTCCAAGAAACATGGGAGGCAAGCAGCACTGTATAGGATGTGGCCTGGGCCAGAGAGGAGCCCATTGTGCTAGTGTTATATTAACTAGGCTATGTGGGAGCAGGACGATGGATACTCTTGGGGAAGTTATGCTCACAGTAGGTCTCTATAGTCGCTGTCGCGTGTGTTCTCGTGATATGTAAGACTTGACTCTATATTCTCGTATAAAGGAAACTTAGTTGCAAATAAATGGATGGAGGTTGAGACCTCCTTATATCTTGCTCCAGACTTACTATGTTGTTTACAGCATAGTGCTAGAACATTCCCTAATGATATCATTTCTCTCCTACAAGAAATGACCAGCTCGTTCTCTCTGAGTCTATCAGTCTCCCGCTGATTCCATTATCTCTATTCCATCGAGTTCTAGTTTGGTCCAGTATACCCACACATGCATTACACACTAAACACCCCACGGTTTAGTTCCACAGTCACGTGTATCTACGATGACGTGACCTAAAGCATATACCATGGTAAGTTACATGGATAACACAACAGCTAGATAGTCTATGACTCAAGTAGTACAACAAACACGTGCACAGATCATTTGAAGCAATGATTAATAGACCAGAAGATGTGGCTAGAATCAAAAAGTTGATACTAAGCAAAGGATGGATAAAACAATTTCGACATGCAGGGGCTTCAAGGTGGCAATGTCGGATACAATAAATCGATCTGGAAGGGGAGAGGTCGGAATCCACACCGGCTGAACAGTGTAAACTACACAACATGAAGGTAAAGTAAACAAATTGATAGGAACATAAAAAGACAGGATCAGAAGATTTTCGCCAAATTGGTTTCCTTCTTTGTAAATGATGAAGATAGTTATCTGCATGAACTCATAGAGTGACTGATCGGGCTAAATCAAATCAAATACAAAACTACATATAGTAAGACCCCTGTTAAGACCATGTAATCCGGGCCATGGAAAATATAGGCATACAGAGCATATCGCTGTAAAGGATATGGTTATCTAGTCCAGCTATCTAGGCTACTTTGTACCTTTGATGCCTCTTGTATACTCCCATTTTCCGTCTTTAATCGCTCTAGTACTCAAGGTCAGGCCAGTTTACAGCTCGCTGTCGTAGCGAAGTAGTGCTAGTAGCTTCGTTAAATTTCGCGAAGGTATTGCTCAATGACTCGGAGACTGTGGACTGGCTTAGTTGATGGCCATACTCAGCGAAGAACCACTCAATGCACTGTTTTTGTGCTGGTTTTGGGACTTGGCAGTGCGCCCATCGTCGCAGAGCACGACATTGCTCTACAGGAATTCCCTATTTTGGCTGCATTATTAGCACCAATCTAACCAAAAAAACCTGGTTAAAATGATATTCAGAGGTTGAAGAACGATAATCGAGTAATCGGTAAATGTATGGGAACGGAGTCCGTTCCGCAAAATATATCCTATAAACGGCACTATCGGCTTAACAGGGGTCTTACTGTATATCTCGTCCATCCTTGGCCTTTAGGTAGAGAGGACCTGCATGTCCTACAAAGTCATAGACTCGGACAGGCCAATAAAATGAATTAATAAATAAATAATAATAACAAAAACCTGACGAGGGCCCAAAGTAGCTTAGCAATCCAAATTCGAAGCGAGCATATCGGGCTCAATTCGTATTTGCATAGAAGAAAAATACCAGGAGTCTACAATCCATGCTGTCCGTGTGGCTACCAATCACAAAATCCCAAGCACATGATCATGTCCTGCCCTAAGTGGTCAATTGGTAGAGGAGAAATCTGGAGACAAGCCCGAAATCGCTCCTTTGAAGCAATGACCAACAATCCTAGCGATATGTCAAGAATCACACGATGGATTCTTAATCATGGTTGGATAGAACAATTCCGCTTGACAAATGCAGTCGAAATGCTGCTCAGGGAACGAGAGGGAACATGTGGAAGGTTGGGATTGATAGAAGGGACGTGATTGGTACACATCGACGGCGTTACAGTGTAACTGTACTTCCTGAAGGATAAACTGCAAACTATAAGAATTAAATCAGAAAGCTTGGGGGGTTTTCACCGAGAGGTTTCCTCCTATGTAAATATATAGATAGGTTTATAGCCACCTGCATGGGCCCATAGGGCGCCAAATCAGGATAATGAACACAAATCAAAAATAAATAATAATAATTAACTTCGTCCAGCCTGAACGACCAGACCACATCAATCTTCACCCGTGTATTGAACATGTAAAGTCCAACTATCCGGTGGAGCCAAATTCGACACGCCGAAGCCCATATTTCTCCTCAGCTTCAACCACCTCGCGCCTGAGCCCTCGAAACCCTACCAATCTCTATTTTTGACTTTCCGTTTAGTCTCAGTCATGCATACGCTTAGGGTCTCTTCACCTCATCCAAGGGTCGTTTTCCTCATCGGATGCCTCGTCCGGTCATCCACTGAGGCCTTCTCGGGTTTTCTCCCTTTTATTCCTCGATTGTAGCTATCCTTAATTCTTATGTTGACCTCGCCATCTGAGAAACTTTGTAGACTTTCCACCTATTTGGCCTTGCCCCATCGCTGCCGTACCACTAGCCATGGAGGCCAAATATGGGCCGAAGAGCTCGAGACCGTGGCACAAATTCCTCAGGCTTTGTCATATCCTCTAGTTGATGTGACAGCGAAATATCATACGTAATTAGTGGGTGGCGATTTGTCGTAGGTCGAGTTGTTGGTGCCCGTGACCCAGGTTGGACAAATACAAGACCGGTGCTTCGATCGTATCTTCACAACGAACGACAGATAGGAGGGGATGGATTTTCATTTGGATCTTATATGGCGAATATGACTTTCGGATTGTGAAGTGCTTCGGTGAGCGATGAGATTATTGTGGAGAGGGTCGCGAGATGAGTTTGGATGGGAAAGATCTTCCAGGAAAACTTGAGGAAGTCAAGTTTTTCAGTTATTTAAATACGAAAATCA